CACTGTGAACCCCACAGTGACTGGCTGAACTCATGAACCCAGCAAACCCTAATGAAACCCAATTCCAGAACTTCAGGAGAGAGAATCTCTCTTTGCACTTGAGGCTGGGAGGATGGAAGGGTGTGGGGGTGCTATCACATCGACAGAGGTGGCTGTCACCAAGGAGCATGGGCTGAAAAATGAAGAGCTCCTGAGTCCTGGTGATGTTTTAACCCCGGACCTCAACGTGCCTTGAGACAGTTTCCACACCCTGCCTTTAAACGACGAGCCAAGCCCTGGCCGGTTTGGCTCAGCGGTTAGAGCGTCGGCCTGCGGTCCAGAGAGACCCGGGTTCGGTTCCCGCTAAGGGCGTGTACCTCGGTTGCAGTTTGTCCCCAGCCCTGGTCGGTTGTGTGGGTGGCAGCCACTCGATGTGTTCCTTTCACATCGATGTTTCTCTCTCTCTCTCTGTTCCTCTCTCTCCCTCCCACTCTACCTGAACAAAAAATGGAAAAATGTCCTCGGGTGAGGATAAAAAAAAAAATTAAATAAATAAATAAACGACGAGCCAATAGATGTTTCCCAAACTTTTCTTTTCTTCAGCCACTTTGAGGTGACTTTCTTTCACTCCCAACTGAGAGATTTCTGGTTAATTCACAAATATACACACCTATGTATTTTTTTTTATCCTCACCCAAGGACATTTTCCCATTTTTTTCTTTTTTTTTTTTTTTAATCCTCACCCGAGGACATTTTTCCATTTTTTGTTCAGATAGAGTGGGAGGGAGAGAGAGGAAGAGAGAGACAGAGAGAAACATCGACGTGAAAGAGACACATCGAGTGGCTGCCACCCGCACGACCGACCAGGGCCGGGGACAAACTGCAACCGAAGTACATGCCCTTAGCGGGAACCGAACCTGGGTCTCTCTGGATCGCAGGCCAACGCTCTAACCTCTGAGCCAAACCGGCCAGGGCGCATTTTTTTTGTTCAGATAGAGCGGGAGGGAGAGAGAGGAAGGGAGAGAGAGAGAAACATCGACGTGAAAGGGACACATCGAATGCCTGACACCTGCATGACCCAACCAGGGCCGGGGACAAACTGCAACCGAGGTACATGCCCTTAGCGGGAATCGAACCCGGGTCTCTCTGGACCGCAGGCCGACGCTCCAACCGCTGAGCCAAACCGGCCAGGGCCTCCTATGTATGTTATAGAAAACACCTAGAAGACTGCTCTTAGCGGTTCTCAACCTTCCTAATGCCGTGACCCTTTAACACAGCTCCTCATGTTGTGGTGACCCCCACCACAAAATTATTTTCGTTGCGACTTTATAACTGTAATTTTGCTACTGTTATGTCTTAGGCGACCCCTGTGAAAGGGTCGTTCGACCCCCAAAGGGGTTGCGACCCACAGGTTGAGAACCACACTCTAGAGGTTGGGATTTCAGGAGCCTTAAATCTTCCTGAGTTTATGCTGTCCCATATGGGAACCTCCAGTGGGTGTGACGATTGAGCCCTGGGACTGGGGCTTGGCTGACTGGAGGCGGGCGGTAGGTGTGGAAGACAGATAAAAAAGAACGCAAACCCTGGCCGGTTGCTCAGCGGTTAGAGCTTTGGTCTGCGGACCAGAGAGTCCCAGGTTTGGTTCCCGCTCAGGGCATGTACCTCAGTTGCAGTTTGTCCCCAGCCCTGGTTGGGGTCATGTGGGTGGCAACCACTCAATGTGTCTCTCTCACATTGATATTTCTCTCTCTCTCTCTTCCTCCCTCTCTCCCTCCTGTTCTGAGGATGAATGCAAAAATGTCCTCAGGTGAAGATGAAAAAAAAAAGAATGCAAACGTTCTCAATAATTTTTTTAATCAATTACATGTTGAAATGATACTATTTTGGATATATTGGGTTAAACAAAATATATTGCTAAAATTAAATTTATCTGTTTCCTTTTACTTTTCTAAATGTGGCAACCAAAAGGCTTCCAATTACATTAAAAGTCTGCATCATTTCTATCAGGGCCCGCATAGAGAGCATAGGAAAGTCAACCTGTAAATATTTGGGGAGTGAGTATGTTTAAAATATTTGCAACATACAGCCCTGGCCAGTGTTCTCAGTGGTTAGAGCGCCAGCCCATGGACCAAAGAGTCTTGGGTTCAATTCCTGGTCAAGGGCATGTTACCTCGGTTGCAGATTCGATCCCTGGCCCCGGTAGGGGTGTGTGCAGGAGGCAACCGATAGATGTGTCTCTCTCTTCCCTTCCTACTCCCCCTCTCTTCAACGCTCTCTGAAAAATCAATGGAAAAAATATCCTCAGAGTGAGGATTAACAACAACAAAAAGTGTTTGTAACATTCAGTATTAACTTCGTAATCAGATAAGGAAAGGAAAGTATAGAAATGTTGGACACCGTTGCTTTTACAAAGAGGTGGACTTTTGGAATTCCACTATTTTCATTAGCCCCAACTCCTTAGTATTCTACTGTAATGTATCCTTTAATGTTTTGGCTCTGTGTCTGGTTTTGATTTGTGTTTTCTGAATGTGGTTTTTGTGTGTGTGTTTCTCTGGGAATCATAATGGTACATTCCTAATTGTCACAGTCTACTCAGAGTTTATTAACATTTTAACACTTCAAGTAAAGTATACAAGCCTTACAACTTGAACCCTCCCCCTTTTATGTTACTGTTTTCATATTGTTACATCTCACACACTGAAACCCCACTAGATAATGTTATAATTTTTACCTTCCACATTATACATATTTTAAAGAACTTAGGAGAAAAAGTCTATTCCATTTATGCATATAGTTATAATTTTCGTTGCTTTTTCTTCCGTTCCTGAAGTTTCAAACTTCCCTCTGGTATCCATCTGCCTTTTTCAAAGTGGGGTGTCAACAGATACTACCCACCAAGGAAAATCAAGTGATAGCACCATTAGCACATTATTTAGAAATGTGGCGACACTTACCCAAGGGAATGGGAGTTGCCACTAAAGCCACGGAGAACTACTGGACTTACTCAGTGAGGTACATGTTACCTTGAAAAAGTATAAAGGGAAAACGAGGAGAAAGGATGGCTGTGGGTTGGGTTGCGTGTCCAGGTATGGGCATGAAGAAGACTCTCGGGGGACAGTATAGGTCTGGGAAGACACCGCACTGTGATCTGCATCATGCCAAGGTGAGCAACCAGCCCAGTGAAGGAAGCAGAGCCCTCACAGGAGTCAAAGAGGGGGTGAGGAGAGGCAGGGAACCAAGGCCGTTCTAGAACCTTTGGCAGCCACCAGACAGGTGTCCAATGCTGCCTAGATGTGTAGTCAGATGAGGGACACAGAAGTCCTGTCTGGTAGAGTGATGGGATGGAGGCCAGGTTGGAGAGGGGGAAAGAGAGTAGGCAGATGGGGATGCCGACAGAACCACGATGGGGCATCTTTCCGGGAAGTTTGGCCACCAAGGGCAGGAGAGAGGGGCGTTTGTGTTTTCAAGTGGGAGTGTCGTGAGGACGAGCAAGTGCAGTTAGAAGAACGCAAGCAGAGGGAGAGGTGAAGGATTCAAGGAGGGGCGGCTTCTCTGGACCCTCTGAGCCTGGGGTCTCCCAGGAGGCAGGAGGCAGACAGCCCTGCTCTCAGCCTCCCAGGGAGGGGGGGTGCTGGAAGGAGATGCTCGCTTATCTTTAAACTCCGGGGGCACAGTGCTGTCCCCCTTCCCCAGCTGGAACGTAATCGCTTGTCTCAGGTTTCCCGGCTGGAAGAGGCCGGTGAACCCAGATGTTCCTACCACCAAGGTAGGTTCTAGTTGCTGCCCCTTCGCCTGAGGAGGCAGAGTCTGCGGGCAAAGCCACCAGCAGAGTGCAGGCTTCCCAGGCCAGGGCCAATGGGGACGCCCCGAATTCCAGCGCCTGCGAGGCCAGGAAGAATCAAAAGGTGGAAAAGGGAAGCCGAGTGTGTAAGGAGGGGAGGGGGCTGTGACCACATGAGGGCTCCTGGTCCCCAAGTGAAGCACTCCCGCCCCCCACCCCAGGAGCAGCTCTCTATCCCCAGATCTTCGGGTTTTTCAGAGAACCCAAGTATCTCGATTTTAATGAGAACTCTCTGGATTAGCGAGGTCTGCCTGAGGGCAGTCCAGCCAAGTGATGGGGTCCTGAGCCTGTCAGGTAAGGCCTCTCGGAGGAGAGCCATGACGCAGGCAGGAGGCAGCTGGGAGCCGAGGGGAGAGGGCCGGGAGGGCAGACGGAGGGGCGCGGAGGCCTGGCCACGAGGCTGCACACGGACGAGCAGGGGGTCCGGAGACGGATGCGCTCAGTGAGCGCTCCAGCGAACGAGGGTGGCCTGGACGGCCGGTCTGGCCTTCCGTGTCGCAGCCCACTGCCCAGCCTGGCACAGACTCGTCGCCCCTCAGGCCTGCCCTCGCGTCCCAGGATCCGGGAGGAGGGGTCCGTGGTGTGCAGGGGGAAGCCCCTTCAGAGCCTGCTGGGCCTGGAATGCGGCCTCCTCATTAACTCGGTATCTTCCCATTGAGAGCTAATTGACCACCACTTGTACCCTCCGGAGGCGCCCCGAGGCTGGGCGCCTCCCCCGACACCGGTGCAGGGCTGTCGGTCGCCAAGCCCGGCGCGGGAGCGCGCAGCCGGCGATGCGGGGATGCGGGGATGCGGGACGCGGGGAGCGCGCTGCCTTCTGCACCGCAGGGCCCCCCTCGCGCCCCCCGCGCGCCGGAGCGGCTGGGCCGGGAAGGGTTAAGCCCACCGAGCTCGCGGCTGCCTAGAGCGGCGGCGGCGGGGGCCGGGGCGCGGGGCGCACGGGCGGCGGGCGGGGGACAGGATGCGGATGCCGGGGGTACTTCCTGTGCCGGCCCCCGCCGCCCCCGCCCCGGCCCCGGCCCGGCGGCTGCCCACACGGACGCAGGCCGGCCGGACGCACGCTCGGGCGGGCGGGCGAGCGAACGGGGACCCCTGCCCGGCCGCGCCGCCCGCCCCCCGCCCGAGGCCCGCGGGATCCGGACACCTGTGGCCGCTGGCGGACCCCGGCCCGACCCGGACTGCCCTGGGCTGAGCCGAGACCAGTGTCACCCGGCCACTGCCGACCTCATCCCGGGCCACCCCGCCTGGTCCGCTCTGGTGCTCTCGGCGCGCGCGATGGTCCCCCCGGGCCAGCTCTGAGCCGGCGCTGGATGGGGCTCTGTCTCCTCCCCGCCCCAGGGAGCTGACACCAACTTCTGCTCCTGAACTCTGCTCTGCCGCTTCTTTTGGCCCAGGGCTACCTCGGCAGCCCTGAAAACGCCGACCCTCCCCAGTGCCCAGAAAGGCGCCTGGGTGGCCCAGCGCCTCCCGGGCTCTTTCTGGATGGAGGCGCCTCAGGAAGGAGCTGGCTGCGGGCTCTGGCCTTCACCTTCCAGCCCCTGCTGACCACACCTCCCCTAGTGCAGAGGCTGCGGTGAGGAGCAGGAAATGCTGTACCAGGTGAGGCCCTGTGGGGAGGAGACCTGGGTGAACCTTGGATGCTTCCCTTAAGAGATTTTGGACTGGGTTCTAAAGGCTAGTGGGACCTGGAGTCATCCTGTGGGAGGGGAGGGAGGGCTAGGTGTGGGGACACCTCTGCAGGGGCCAGGGTGGACATGGAGAGGCAAGAACCCTCCAGACCTCAGGAGTCCCTGGCACAGGGCCAGGCTGGCAGCTGGCCAGTTCCATGGGTGCTCTGGAAGCCTGCCTCCCATGGAGCTGAGGCGACATCAGGACACACGTGGCCTGGGGAGGCTGGGAGGTAGGAGACCAGAGAGTGAACAGACCTGTCAGTGCAGGGGATGTGAGATGGATAAAATCTCTTTTTTGCAAACTTCCCACATGTCCCTTTGGGACTTCATCTCCCCATCCTAGTGAGGGTCTGATTTCCCACTATCCTTTCAGAGAGGGCAGCTGCAGGGCTGCCCCTAGGCCTGGGCTGAAGGAGGGTCCTGCAAAAAGTCGGGAGAGGAAAGACCACCTCCGGGGCAGGGGCCTGGGAGCTGAGCCTCCAGGCTGCCCTCGCTCCTCCCATTCCCAGACGTGGGCTGCACTGTCCTTCTCTCCAACGGGGTGGAGCTACCAGCTCCAGGGGGCCCTGGCTCAGATTTGGGGGTTCTCTGGCAGTCAGTGCCATGGGCCGGGGGGGTCACAGCACCACTGTCCACCTGAATAGCGTCTTTCCTTCCTTTCAGCACGGCCGGCTCCCTGGAATCTTGGTCTGACTAACAGGATGGAGCTGGGGCCAGCGGCTGAGACCTTCGTGCTGAAGCTCCGGTGTCTTGAAGATGGGGGCCAAGGGCCTGACACCCTCTCAGGTGAGAGGCTGGGGGGGCCTCTGACCTCCTAAACTAGGAGATCGTCCTCAGGTCCCTGGCAAGGATCCTTTGACACGGCCCTCGGCCTGCCGTGGTGGAGAGAGGGGCCCGAAGGGTGGCAGGCATCCTCCGGGTTATCAGGACTAGTTTTCTAAAAGGAAATCATTTCCATGGAGATATGCCTTGGTTTCATGAAGTCAGTATATTCCTGGGAAAGTGACCAGAAAGGAACGTTTTATCATTCAAACCTCTGCTTTCCATTACGAAACTGAAAACATGTCGAAATCAGAGGTGGGACTGGAGGAAGCCTCAGAGTTTCCGCTAACCCAGTAGTGATGCTCACGATGGGACGCTGCCTGTGGGCGCTGTGCGGCGGGGTGGCTCCTGCTCGGCAGGGCTCCCTGTGTGCCGGAACCACGCTGGGGCTGGGCACTTGTCCTCTCCAGTTCTCAGTGTCCCCGAAAAGGGTCTGTCTTCTTTAGTAGAAGGAGAAACACAGGTTCCCGGAGATTAAGGAGTTGGCCAGTCACCATGTTCACATGGGGCTGTGAGATTTTTCTGTTCCAAAGTAACAGTCTGAAACACTTCCCATCTTTAGGCTGTTTCAGGTGGAGCTAGTTGTATTCCTGGCATTTCCAAACTGCGGGTTAGTTTGCAAACTGATTCCTAGCCCACAGGGCGAGGGACTCCCCAAGTATCTAGCAGGTTGTAGCGGGTGTGCCAGGGCCCTTCCTGCTTCACTCAGGACGCTGTCAGGGTGGGCATCATCAAGCTATTTTGTAGACGAGGAGGGTGTGAGCCTGCAGGAGGCTGGACAGCTGCTAACTGGTAGAGTAAGGGCCAGAGCTGAGTTCTCTGAACTGAGGACTTGCCACTGGAAACCTCGTGTTCTCTTTGAAACGTCGGTGACTTGTAGAAACCGCCTGTAACCCTTCCAGGCAGCTTTACAGAAATGTATTCTTATTTACAGAGAAAGCACGATTCCTTTATTAAGGTGTGACCCTAACTGAGGCCAGAGTGCAGCATGGGCTAGTGGCTTGGAATGGCTGGTTCACTGATCCCCACTGGATGGTGACGGGTACAAGGGACTTCCTGGGAAATGGTGTTGGGGAGCCCAGGCACCCCGGCTGGTGTCACTGCCAAGCTCTAAGCTTGGAGCCTGTGCGGGGGACGGCCCAGAGAGGGGCCAGGGAGCTGGGATCCAGAGTGACACGACCAGCAGTCTTTCGGGCACATTTATTTCTAAGCCAACCCCACACCTCTGGGCATTTCAGTTTCTGCCAAGCTGCCACGGTCACCTGATCCAGTACTTTTGGGTCGCTGCTGAGAGCTCAGTCATGTATCCTAGAATGACGGTACATGGGACAGGGGAAGGGGGCGGTCCTGGGGGTCTGAACCAGAGAGCTGCCTGTGGATCTTTCTCTCCTGGCTTCCTGCCATGTCCACTCCAGGCGGCAGCGGTGGGAGTGAGAGTCAGGAGGAAGAAGAGGCTCAGGAGAGGAGCGGTAGGCCACCACGGCCCGCAGTCTCAGCCCCAAAGGGGGCCAGTGGGATTGCTGAGGACGCCCAGCCAGGACAGCAGGAGTTGCGATGGCAACAGCTAGAGCAGCAGCCAGAGCTGCAACAGCCACAGCAAGAAGAGCTGCGACAGCAGCAGCCATCAGGACACCGGCCAGAACTGCCACCACAGCAGCAGCAAGACAGACAAGAACAGCTGCCTCAACAACAGCAGGAGCTACAGGAAAAACACCAACCCTGGCAACATCAGCAACTAAAGCCACAACTGCGACTGATGCAACAAGTGCAAGAACAACCACTATTGCAGCAACAGCAGGAACAGCCACGGCAGCAGCAGGATGGGCAACAGCAGCTGCCTCAACTACAGCAGGAACGACAGGAAGAACCCCACTCTGTGCAAAATGAGCAACTGAAGCCACAGCTGCCACGGGTGCAGCAGCAGGGAGAGTTACAAGCTCAGCAAGTGCAAGAGCAACAGTGGTTGGAGCAACAGCAGGAACATTTACAACCACCGCAGTTGCCACAACAGCCACAGCAGGAACAGTTACAGCAGGCACAAGTACAGCAGCAGCAGCAGCAGCAAGAGCAACAGGAGCAACAGGACCAAGAACAATTGCAGCAGCAGCAACAACAGTTACAACAGCAGCAGCTGCTACAACAGCAGCAACAGTTACAGCAGCAGCAGCTGATGCAGCAGCAACAAGAACAGTTACAGCAGCAGCTGTTGCAGCAGCAGCAACAGTTACAACAGCAGCTGTTACAGCAACAACAGTTACAGCAGCAGCTACTGCAGCAGCAGCAGCAGCAACAGTTGCAACAGCAGCAGCAGCAACAACAGTTGCAACAGCAGCAGCTGCAGCCCCGGCCGCTGGAGCCAGAGGAGGAGGAAGAGGTGGAGCTGGAGCTCATGCCAGTGGACCTGGCGTCGGAGCAAGAACTGGAACAGCAGAGGCAGGAGCTCCAGCAGCAGCAGGAGCTGGAGAGACAACAGGAACAGCGGCAGCTGCAGCTCAAACTGCAGGAGCAGCTGCAGCAGCTGGAGCAGCAGCTGGAGCAGCAACAGAAGCAGCTGGAACAGCAGCAGGAGGTGCAGCTGGAGCTGACCCCGGTGGAGCTGGGGGCCCAGCAGCAGGAGGTGCAGCTGGAGCTGACCCCGGTACAACCTGAGCTGCAGCTGGAGCTGGTGCCTGCTGCGGGCGGAGGAGCGGCTTCCGGACCAGGGGCTCCAGCCGCGGTCATGGTGGCCCCCTCGGGCTACGTGGTGCTGCAGGAGCTCATGGTGCTGCCGGCCCTGGCCCCGCCGGCTGTAGTGCCCATCTCAGGCCCCGCGGGCAGCGCGGCCCTGACGCCCGCCCGGCAGCGGCGACGGCGGCGCGCCCGCGACAGGCCGACCATCTGCGGGGAGTGCGGCAAGGGCTTCAGCCGCAGCACGGACCTGGTGCGGCACCAGGCCACGCACACGGGCGAGCGGCCGCACCGCTGCGGGGAGTGCGGCAAGGGCTTCTCGCAGCACTCCAACCTGGTGACGCACCAGCGCATCCACACGGGCGAGAAGCCCTACGCCTGCTCCTACTGCTCCAAGCGCTTCAGCGAGAGCTCGGCCCTGGTGCAGCACCAGCGCACGCACACGGGCGAGCGGCCCTACGCCTGCGGGGACTGCGGCAAGCGCTTCAGCGTCTCGTCCAACCTGCTGCGCCACCGGCGCACGCACTCGGGCGAGCGGCCCTACGTCTGCGAGGACTGCGGCGAGCGCTTCCGCCACAAGGTGCAGATCCGCCGCCACGAGCGCCAGCTGCACGGGGCTGGGCGCTCCCGGGGCCTGGGCCTGCTCCGCGGCACCCGCGCGGCCACCGCTGGGCCACCGCGCGCTGAGCAGGCAGCTGGGGACAAGGCTCCGTGACCCGGAGGGGACCGGCTTCTCCGACTGGGGACGGCTCCATCCTGCTCCGTGGCCTTTCGGGCGTCTTGGACTCTCGCTTGGGAAAAGCTTCCTTCTTTCCTCAGGATCACCAGTGGAGTGGGACAGGCTCACCTTCAGAAACAGCCCGCGAGAGGAACGCCGGTGTGGCTGCAACAGCACAGACGCTGCGCATCAGCACGGACAGCACTCGGTGCACATTCGCTGTTCGGCACCGACTGGTGAGAAATCCGCCAAAACGCCTACCCGGGAGAATTGGGCTTCCTTAAAACGAGAGCCACCCGAAAACACTTGCAATGACAGATGGAACAGTTGGTGACGTTGGACACGGATCGAACATGAACCAGGGAGTCAGATGTGCCTGGTGAAATACACAGGAAAATAGATTTGATCCTGGTGAAAATTATTTCAAGGAAATACGGGGGGAAAGGCAACTTGTCTGCACTACGTAGAAAACTGATCAAGGCGTACCATTGCCCTCGGTGGCATGCGCCCTGAAAGTACTTTCTCGAATGGAAATCCATCAGGGTGGATATAATCCTGATTTAAATGTTTGTGTTTATAAACACAGGGTCAGAGTATCTGCTGGGTTAATGTGCAAATGCCAGGAAGTCCCTGCTCTGGGTGGAAGGTAAAACCTTCCCTCTGGGCGGCTCCTGACGGTCCTGGGAGGAAGGCGGTAGGCCTCTGCTGCTGTGTCCCCATGTCCAAGCAGCCCCCTCATGTCCTCTTGAATAGCAGCCTGTGGCTGAGGCAGAGGGCGTTGTGGGAGGGCTACCCAAGGTCCAAGGTAATGCTCCCCACTGGAAAGAGCTCAGAGCCCTCCCCCTTCCCTGCGATCCTCCAGCTTTAGGCTTCTCAGGTGCTGGCCCAGCTACTGAGGCTATGGGGTCGGGCGTGAGAACCAGGGGCAGGGTTCTCCTGGGCCAGGCTATTTAAGGGGCTGGCCTGAGCAGACCCTGCCTCATCGCTGGGGGTCAGAGGGAAAACGTTGGGGACAAGGATGGGAGATATCAGAAATGCTCTTTACATTTACAGAATCATCTGGGGGTCACTGATATGGGAAGGCAGGCCAGTGGGGGAGGCTGCCCACCACCTCTGCCCCCCAAGTGCTTCCTGCTCCTGACTTCCCATGTGTGGCTGCGTAGGTCCTGCCCCCTCTTTTCTCCCTGCTTCTCCTTTACTGACACAACCTGCAACATTTTACAAATGTGTTGGTAAGTGAGGAGCACAAGTGAAAAATAAACTTACATGAAGAAACACATTGTCCCTTCTGTGTTTTCACCTGGAATTTTGTGCGGCTTCATTTCTGGAACATTTTCCTGGTTATTCTGACGTAAGGAACTTCGCCTCCAGGTCCACACCCAGTGCTCCTCACCCAGACCCTTACTTCTGGCTTGAGACCCTCGGCTGGGATGGACTTATGCAGTAAAACCCTGCTGGGTGGAGCCCAGGGGGTAGACGCTTGAAGAGGCCATGCTGGCATTTCCTGAGGACAAGCTCTGAACCAGTCCCTTCCAATTAATACAATTTCCACGTCGCTGTTATGCATGTATAAGCCATT